GTGTGTGTGTGTGTGTTTGTTCACTAGTCACTGCTGTGTGTGTGCATTTGGATGGGTTAAATGCAGAGCACACATTCCAAGTATCACCATACTTGGCCACACGTCCTTTCCTTTCCTTTCCTTTCCTTTCCTTTCCTTTCCTTTCCTTTGATAATGGTAATGCTACCATTTAAAAGTTTGGAGACTGTAAGACTTGTGTTTTTTTTTTTAAGTCTCTAATTCTCATCAAGACTGCATTTATTTGATCAAAAGTATCGTACAACAGATAAAACAGTTAAATGTTGAATTATTATTACAATTTTAAATTTCATTACAATTTTACATTTTCTATTTTAATATATCTTAAAATTTATTTCTGTGACGCAAAGCAGAATTTTCAGCAGACATTACTCCCTTCTTCAGTGTATTTATAAGCATTTATTTGAAATATAACATTATAAATGTCTTTACTGTCGCTTATTAATCAATTTAATGTATCCTTGTCAAAAATTTATAAATGCTGCAAAAGTAAGGTTCGTTTTTAGCTATTGTGAAAAACACGATGATTTGAACAGAAACCCCTGCTAAAAAGTTCAGAGTTTTGAATATAAACTAACTTTGATTGCTTCCTAACTATCTTACCTAGCAAGTCTTGTTTTCAGCTTTACTGTAATTGTTGGTGCTCCAACTAGACAAGCACCAAACTGACAAGAAGCATCACGGAAATCCGTGCAGATGGTATTTTCAGCAGTGACATGGCTGAGGCATCTGACCTAACACAAAAACACATTTTTTCATATCTGCTTTCTACTACAACACCTCCATCTTCCTGTGACCACCCAAACACGAACAGACCCATCCACAAACACTCACTGGATCTCCATGTGACAGAATTTGAATGCCATACATACACTATTTGATGGGACACCTAAATCGAGCTTTTCAGATGTCACACTGCATTCCAGAGAAAGTGACAAAAAAAGCGGAGTGGTTGCGAGTTTGCTTGAATGAGTGTCATCTTTGTTTTCATGCGTTCTGCAATGGAAACAAAGTGCTGACACTGTGTGAAAGCTTTAATCCAATAAAGACACAAGCACTTGCTTTATATGGCACATCCCTGTCCAATTCTTGCCATTTGATGTCCGCATAGTCCTAGCACTTGAGCTCTTCACAAGGGAAACGGAGGATGATTAAAAGTCTAGGCTAAAAGCACATGTTGTAAAAGAAGGCCTCTGTCATCCACTAGTGTCACTGTGGCCTGTAAGATAACCTTCCTCTGTTGAGAAGGAATACAATACAGACACCGCCAATGATCACAAGCGCTTCAATAACATCACTGAGTGTACATTTTAAATAGAGCAGACCTTTTCACAATAGACTGCTCCTTTTTCAAGACCTCAGACTTGTGCCTCTATTACATTTTTGGCATTTTTTCGCCATTTCCTTCTTGCTATTTGGATTTTCAAACTGCTCACAAAAAGATATACATTAAAAAACCCTGACTTTCTTCAGTGTATCTGTTAACAGTGTTTTAACAACTACTGAATAATGCAGTACATCATAATTTTCAAGCCCAGACATCACATCAGCTCCGAGGCACAATATAATACATTTTAAATAACCAAGGCATCATGGATCTCCTCGATCAGAGAGACATTTTTCATCACTAGCTTTTGAGAATCAAGATTGAGTTGATGAATTTACCACAGGCCTCAGACTCAACCCATCCATCCACATAAAATATTGAGGTCCTTGGAGCTAAAAAACAAAAGGGCGGACATCACAAACCATGGCGTTTAAGTTTTATCATTCACATAGAAGGTGTTGGAAGAATAATATATACTTGGGATCTTCTCCAGCATTCAAACTTGTGAGTTGTGAAGTGTCAAGCCTTCAGGATTCATCTCCTACGCCGCTCTCGCCCTAACTGCGAGGTTCAATTTATCTTCCCCATGAGCTGTATATGGCAGAGCGGTTTTGCATGACCACTGCCAGCTGCCTTAATCCTAGCCTGGGTTGCACTTACGCGGTCTAATTCAGCAGATCTAATTCAGAGATCCTTTAAAAGCTGCAGGGCTGGAGCCCCGAGCCTCCGGCCCTGCAAAACTGGAGACCGAGCATTATAAAATCCTCCACAACATAGACGCTCTACCGTTTACTCGCGCATAGCCGGAGTGGTGCGTGCAACGGCACATGCCGCTCAATCTGTCGCTGAATCTGGTCTTTGTCTCATGCAGGTGAGTGATTTTAGTCCACTCGAGTCAGTCAGCAGAACTGCAGTACAAACTGACAATGCAAGGAAGGATGACACCAGCATCACTATCAGCTCTGGCATATCAGATATCTGAAAAGACAAAACATTGGTCTTACCTCCCAAAACTTGCTGGAGAGCTGCAGCAGGAATGATGGGAAAGAAAAAAAGAGAATAATAAATCAACAACACAGAATTCACCATTTGTCATTCAGGTTGTTGAAACTATAATGAGAAGAACTGAAGACTATATGCATGTGTAATTGCTAGGTGAGACTATCAAAATATCAAGTTAGGTTATGGTTCGTATTTAATTAAATATATCTTGTTTGAATGTCAAATCCTGCTATTATGAACCAAATGTTACACGGAAAACAGCTAAAATGCAAACTACTATAAATATAAATGTAATAAAAGTATGTAGGCCTACTTGTAATCCTACACTTCATAAATATTCAGGTGTGGGAGCAAAACATCATGTGGATCCAAGAAAAATCATATGCATCAGTAAGATAAGCGTTCAAGGAACTCAGAGGGTGAAAGTCATTTTTAAGTGGTTAAAGAGTATTACTCAAATATATTTGAGGGCTTGTGAACTAAAATACCACCACTTGAGTATACAGTAAGTACGTACAAATGTTGTAGGCAGCAACTTTAAAAAGCTCATAATTGCATCCTTGTGAGTCTACTGTAGATTTCAGTCTGACTAAAACATGATAAAAATGCACGCACCACTTGTTTGAGTCATAAATCAAGTCATACTCTCAAATGTTATTGTCATTACTGCAGATGACTGTTTATAGTAGATGTCTAGATGATAAGACTCGTGGGAGCTGGGATGCATGTTGCTCGTGTTGTTTTCTGAGATACAATGATGAAATCTATAAATGGGAGTTTCTTCAAGTTCGGGAGACTTTTATTTCCCAGGGGTTGATTTTTATTAAAACTAACAGATTTAAACTTTTTTCTTTGTGCTATATGAAGGTCATATTAAACCTTTCATATTTAAACGTTTAACCAACTCTGCGTCCCAAAATGCCTACTGTACTTCTCTACTATATAGTAGGTGAAAAACAGAATGCGTGGTATTCATAAAACAGTTGGTGAAAAGTACCCGGATGACAGTTTGTGAACTCCGATAGCATGCATTTGATTCAGACTGCTTGTAATTTTGAACACACCCTATTTCGTAGTTTATTTTTGGTAAAGATTTTTACTGTTTTCCCTAGGAACACTAAAATATTCTATCCAAATCAACTGAAATAAGAATTTATCTTACAATATGAAACCCCATCATAAAAATATGAATTACTACATTTAAAACTATGATAACAAAGAGTGAAATAATTGGTTTTCTCAAGTACACAAACTATAAAAATAGTGTCCGATTTTGATAAGAAATTAGACTCGTATCTATTCTGTGATGTGTGAAAAAATCAAAGCTGGAAAAAAAACATATGAATAGAACATTTTCAACCCTAGGACTGTGTTGAAAATCCTTTTTAAAAATTGCCTGTAAATGTCTCATTATGCTAAATTATCACAAAGTCTTGTATCTCAGTCTTGTTTTAGGAACTGATTGGTCATCGGTCTTATTGATCGGAGCTTATGCACTACAGTTTTTGAGTGAAAGAAAGCATTATTTGTGGATCATTCTGGCAGTGCTCACTCCAAAACTGAAGTAACAAGTGCAACAAGGTGGGAGGAAAAAAAAGTACAAGAAAATTATAAATTGGGGGGCTGTTGAGCAATCAGTAAGTTTTATTCTAATGCAATAACACTTACCAGAATTTTCGGGAAAAAGAAAATCCCCTACAGGTCAAAATGACTGGAACACAAGATCAGGGTTAACCATGTGTCATTTCTAATCAAGTTATTGCAAAAAAAAAAAAAAAGTGACAAAATGTGACTACATTTAAGAGCACAGATGCATAAAATGCAAGTTATGAAATAAGCCTTAGTAAGATGGTGGCCATTTGACCAAAAAAAAAAAAGTCCAAATGTCATTCACACCATTTCCTCCATAGTATGCTATTAAATGCACAGTAAATACACAGTACATAATCTGTGATGTGTAGCAAATGACACTGGAACTTTATGACTTTAAGGGGAAAAAAATGGCAGAATTCTCCTTATGCATGCAAATCAACTGTTGAACAATTTAGCAGACAAATTTAGCAGAGAAATTAAAATTAGAAACAAATAATCGCACTATTTATTTTGAGTAAATTCATCAAACCATTATCATACCATCAAGTGAAGTGACTATTACTTTTATAGCACTTATAGCAACAATATATATTGCATCAAATCCGTTTTTCAGAAAACCATGCCTTCATATACTCGTTGTGGCAAGATGTTCAACTGAAGAGAGAGAAGGAACCAGGCTTTCCTCCTCCAAGGCACACATTACAATATATGTATATTACAAAGCTAAATATTATCTACTTACATAATATGCATAACACTAATCACGTGTTCATTGTTTTAATTATTCATATGAATCAATCTGGGTACAGACAAAAAGTAATTTGGGACTCATTAATACCGTAATTTGAATATGAAGACGTTGAAAACACGTTCTCCAAGAGGCCAAAAAGGTCAAGTGCTACCTTAATGACATACTGGAGACCACAGGACCGACTCAGGCGAGCGCAGGGCCAAGCGAGGCATGGAAAGCCTTTACTGTGAAATAACAGGAGTCAAGGGAGAACGTCAAAGGCTTGCTAGGTGGAGCTAGTGTGGGGTTGGATGGTCTGGTCATGGAAGGTGAGTCAGATCACTGTTGCCACTGTGATAATGAGGAGAAAGTAGCTGTGAGAGGAGCTGTTTGCAGCTCTTAAAAGGTGGAGGGCAACAATCCTCGCTCTAAAACACTAATGAGAACACATGGCGGCTTACACATGACCATTGAAAACACAGACCTAACCCTACGGCCAATTAAAGAGGAATCGTTGCGAATGTTATATTGCGATCATCATTATGTGTCCATGGAGACGCCGGCGCGTAAACGAGCACCCGGGAGAGGGAGCGCTGCTCTATTATCCATTTTCCTAATCTCGGTCACTCAACGGCTACAAATTAAATCCGTTGTTTCCAAGCAGATCTTAATGGACTGCTTTAGCAATGAAAAGGCGATTTGGACTATGTCTGTCAGATACCACAGGTGCGAGGGAGACGTTAGCGCACCCCAACAATGTTTGCAAAGGGAAGCTGAAAGCACAACAAAAGCCGGGACAAAAGACGACACAAATCCCTCAGCGCAAATGCTGCTCGATTGCCTGGAGAGAGACAGTAACTCTCTTAATCACACTGTTTGTGGGATCTGCTTGCTTGGCTCAGGATATCAGGCCATGCAAAACTCTCAGCCCCCCATAAATCACGAGGGCCGCTTTAACCTTTACAAGTGCTCTCCTCGGCTTCCTCAAATTGGTCACGGCAACAAAGTCCCGGAGAATTGTAATGAATCGAGCATGGCCGTGAGAGCTGACATGCTGGTGCTAGGCTAGCGCCACGCGGGTTATTAGCATGATCTCAGCCTGTCGGTCTGAAAAAGCCAGAGTGGCATGTAATCTGTCTTTATTTAGTGAAGTGATGCTAATCCCTCTCTTGATCTGAATCAGGTCCTCCAGTGTGAATTCCAACGAGACGAGGCGTCTCCATCAACCACCACAATGGAGGAAGTGTCTGTTTACAGGAGCTAAAATATGCAATCCACAGACTTTTTGATTGTTATTGCAGTAAATCAATAATATAGGTGTCAGCCACTTAACAAAACAGCTTCTCACCTGGAGCATGGCTTCTCGCCAGCATCTTATTGGCAGTTCGTTTCATTATCTGTTTTTGCAACAGTTTGTTTGATCATCCTGCATAATTGTACGTGTGAAAGTTATGATTTTTAATCAGGCATAAAGAACACAGAGGCTGAAAATCACTTTCACAGTGTCTCACTTTAACTGTACCTCAAAGCTGGAATGAGCAGCCGAGTCCCCTGCCAGCTTCAAGAAACGCCTAAGGACACCTCTCTTCGGTGAGCACTTGTCTCACGATTGTTAATG